TTTTGATAAAGGACAAGCTTTCCTATGCTCTAAAAGAAGAGACCTAGGGTGCGCTGAGCTCTCTCTTTTCATTTAACTAGGAACTAAAAATGTTCAAGCATTTCCAATAAATCAATTCTGATTTCTGTTGTTTTATAATAAGCTGAATCATTAGGTCGCCTTCATCAGCAAGTCTGAGATGGTATATTGATATATAATGGCAAATAATTCATTTTTATATACAAATGTCATGGAATTCATTTTCCCAAATATTGAAGAGTTACCAAACACTGGATAGGTTACATGCATACAATGAACTGAATAAGTGCTCATTCACTGCATTCTCTCAGTAACTTATTTCAGTGGGTCTCCTGTGAAACCCCACTGCAAACACAGGCCTTACTTCTGCAATTGGCCCTACACAAGAATAAAGATTTCTTCATGTGGAAATGATTGCAGCCTAGGAATCAAATGTTGTACTTCTCTGACCAGACTCCTGATTGAGGGCTTCTTAGAAACGTTATCTGTTGTTACCCAATGTTCTGTTTGTGCCTGCTGAAATATATTTAGCTTCTTATACAGTTCCACAAATGGCTAGAAAGAGGTGATAAAGAGTAAAGATGAGGAGATATTAGTACCATTGTACAAGACATTGGTAATACCCCATTTTGAATATTGTATTCAGTTCTTGTCATTGGTCAGGTTTGAAAAAAGGTTTACTGAAATTCGTTTAAAGAAGGGCCACTAAAATGGTCAAGGGCATGGAGACCTTTTCTTATGGAAGAAAGATTAAAGGACTTTGACTCATTTAACTGAACCAAACAGAGATTGAGAGGGGATATACACACTCTTTAAAAGTATGTTCATGGGGTGAATATTATGGAAGGAGAAGAGGTTTTTGAGGTTGAATAACAAATTGGGCATAAGATCAAATGGCTACAAACTGGCTGCAGGTAATTAGAACATTTCTGACTATCCAATGAGTAGAGATTTAGAAAAGTCTTCCAAGCAAAGTGGTGGGAGCAAAGAACATGAACTGATTCAAATTTAAACTGGATATGTTTATGAAATGCCAGGAAGTTCAGACTCAAAAGTCTGTGTAACATGGAGTTGTGTGCGAGGTCCATAGGTTGGGGTATAAAGGTTGCTCTTGTAGGGTGGAAGGTATCTGGAGATCTCATGTCTCAGGCAACTTGTTGATCATAAATTGGGGCCAGGAATTATTTTTTTCTTCCCCTCATGATGGCAGTGTCTCCTGGGGGAGCAGTGGTTTCATCTAAGGTACTGAAGTGTTGGCCAGAACTAAGGCTGATGGTTTTTGCTGGAGTGCTGGGGTGCCTCTGCTGGTACTTAAGAAAACCCAGATGTTCTTGGCTAAAGGGCTCTTCTGCTCAGGGCCATATTAATAGTGAAATGTGAAGTCAGGAAGGAACTTTTCCCCTGGGTCAGAATGGGAGAGACTACAGGAGGGGTCCTCTGAAGATCAGGGTATTGATCTTCTCTTAAAATCTTCTGAGCATATATTAATTAACCACTTCCTGTTTTTGTTGTAGCAGGGTATTGGCAGTGTCTGATCCCTATTTTTGAGATCACCTATGGCACGTCATAAGATGTTCTCAGTATTACATGCAAACTCGGGGGACTTGAACAGATAGCACAGGAAGTCCCCTGAAATCTTATTGGTAATTGCAGTCCTTTACTACTATTTAAATTTATTTTCCGTTGATTCCTTGGCCAGTTTTTGAAGGAAAGCAGACTTGGAACAGTCTGCTGCTTGGCAGACCAAATGGAATTGATTACTAAACATATTATTTTTAGTATATACTGTAGTTCTACTCTAGACCTCATTGTGTGTTTTAAGAATTAAATGCCAAAATACTCACTTTTTTGTTTCTTATGCAAGGAAAAAAATCAAAAGACTGGCAATATTCTAAGACTGAATAGATGATTGTGTCCCATGGCCTATTTTAATATATTTTATTAATCTGATACCATCTAGACACCTTTACTATCTTGATTCCAATGTGTTTATTAGTTTTAATGCCTAGATATAGAGGAGCATATGGTCCTCTACCAGTCTCTAATTACATAAACAAACCCCACAAACAAGAACAGATGAAAGGTCAGACAAATGGATTTAAGAAACAAGCATGTAGTGCTGTGTTATTGATGTGCATTTTCAACCAAAGAAAAAGAAATATATGATGTGGCTATTGACCTGTTTCCTAGAACTGCAACAGAAAATTTAATGATCATTATGGATGATAAAAAGGCAGTGCATTTAGAGGCATCTAAAAGAGAGCATCATGCATAGAGGTGTAATGAAAAAAGTGTAGACCTATCCAGGAGTGTTTTACCAGGTCCTGACAAGAACAATGACTCTAGCAGCACTGGCAGGGTGGGGATGGTAATATTTTCATATATTTCATAATATGTTCATAGAATAAGAAATAAGTTCAGCTGCATATGGAGAAATGGGATTTTGCCAGACTTTGAAGGTGAGAACATGAATTTGAAGTTTGAATGGGTGGCATAGAGACAGCCAAGGGAAGAACTGGAAGGGATGATGACAAGAGCAGCTCTAGTTCTATGGTATAGTATCATAGAATCATATAAAATTAGGGTTGGAAGGGACCTCAGGAGGTCATCTAGTCCAACTCCCTGCTCAAAGCAGGACCATCCCCAAATAGATCATCCTGGCCAAGGCTTTGTCTAGCTGGTCTTAAAAACCTCTGAGGATGGAGATTCCACTACCTCTCTGTAAAAACTCATTTAAAAACAGTAAAATTATAAGGTCATAGATCAGTAGATATAGGAGGGACTTCATCATCTAGGCCTGAGATTGCTGTTCAGAGAAAGATGGCCCCTTATTAAACCATCCTAGTCAACCATCCCAGGTTTGTCTAACCTGCTCTTGAAAATTTCCAGAGATGGATATTCCACAACTTTTCTAGATAGCCTATTCCAATGCTTGACCATTCTTGTAGTTATAAAGTTCTTCCTAATATCCACCCTAAATGTATACTGCTGTAGTTTGAGGCCATTGCTCCTACTCCTGCCCCCTACATTCTCAGGGAAAAGTCTGTCTCCACTGTCTTTGTAATCTTTCTTAAAGTACTTGAAGACTGTTATTATATTGCCCTGAAATCTTCTCTTTCCCAGAATAAATAATCCTTGTTCTTTCAGCTTTTCCTTGTAAATCATGCTTCCTAGGCCTTGAATAACTTGTTTTTCTTTCTGTTGGACTCCTGCCAATCTGTTCACACCTTTCTTGAAGTGCAGGATCCAAAGCTGGACAAAGTAGCCCAGGTGAAGCATCACCAATACCAAATAGAATAGAGTGGAAGATTCATTTCCCTTAATTTGCTTAATACAATCCAATATGCTATTGACCTTTTTAATAAGATGATACTATTGACCCATATTAATCTTATGGTTCACTGTAACCCCTAGGTACGTCTCTGCAGGCCAATCATTCCCACTTTGTCCATTCATACATGTGATTATTTCATCCCAAGTGCAGAACTTTGCACTTGTCCTGGTTGAATTTCATTTGACTGATTTTGGACCATTTCTCCAATTTATCCAGGTCATTCTGGATCCTACACATACCCCTCAGAATGTCTACAACTCCACTGAGCTTGGTGTCTCAAATTTTCCAAGCATGTATTCAGTCCCATCATCCATATCATTAATGAAGACATTAAATAAACAGGACCTAGGACAGGCTTCTAGAAAACCCCACTTGATATTTCCTCCCAACTACTCACTGAGTATAATGATCCAACTGGTTTGTACATGTTACAGTGCTTTCATCTAGTCTGTATTTCCTTATCTTATTAATGAGAATGTCCTTGGACACAGAGTCAAAAGTCAAAAGTCTTACCAAAGTCAAGGTACATCAGATCTACCCTATCCATAGATCCTGTCAACTTATCATTGAAGGAAATCAGGTTGGTCAGAATTATGTTATGAAATATTGATAAGATATACTTCCCTCAAATATGGAAGAAAACAATAAGTTTGTTTAAGCAGACTTTTATTAAACAGTAGTGAAACGGTAACTAGACAAATTGATATAATCTACCTGTTGTGATTTTAAAAAGACATTTTTAAATGTGATCTAAAAAGACATTTCATTTTTGACGTAAGAAATGATTTCTACCATGTTATAAAAATAAGCAAGAGACCTTCCTAATTTGCATTTACTGGGCTGATTAGGTTAGAAACCAAAAGAGAGATGGCAGAGAAATATGCAGTGCATATTTAAATGACATGCCTATTAATTAAAATTGCAATTATTTTTACAATAAAATGATATATAACATGAGGTTATCACAGATTATTCAGATTAAAAAATGTAATGTGCTTTTCACCATAAATCCTATTTATCTCCTTTTTGACCTCTCAGTTTTTTAAGTGGAAGATAATTTACTTTTAATCAGCTTCTGTTCAGTTTCACTTTTTGGTTCTCATGTATTAGCTCAATAATTGGCGGGGGGTGGTAAGCCCCTTTAGGCTGCAAACTCCATAGAAAATATGTCTTTGTCAAAATATGGGTTTCCATTAGAATTGAAATACGTTCAGTTTTGTATAATGTTGATTTTATTCATACTAATTTTTGAACCAACCACATCCTCAAAGAATTTATCTAATTTACTACTGGCTACATTTTCATAATTTATCCAAGCAACTTATCCTAGAATTCATGCAAGGTCCATATTTTTAAAATGAGACATTTTGGCCAGTCCCACCAGCTACAATAACAGACTGTTTTGACCCCATTAAACAGAACATCCCATAAATAGCCCTTTTTGTAAAAGAGCTTTTTGGATTCACAAAACCTACATTTATGCAAGCAAATTGGTATAGAATAGGCAGTTACGCAGTAATAATTTATGGTAAGAAATAACTACCTAGCTCAGAAATAATAAGATATTTCCAAAATCATTTAGTTAATGAAACAGCAAATTATAGCTTTTACAGCACCATGTAAAATTAATATGTACAATAGGGTGTATTACCTACTATCTACAGTAAACCAAAGCTCTTATGTAAGTAGCCAAAAGAGCGTGAGTACTTATGGATACTGCATAGCATTCCAGTGACTTCATAAGGGGATCTTGTCTTAAGAGTTTACAACAGTTAAGTGCCCCATTTTATTTTATTTTTTCTGCGTGAAGGCATCCAAAAGGAGTCACTGGAATGCAAGCCATTTTCCATCCCTTTCATGTTTCTTCTGCTGTATGACCTTGACATCTAAACACAACCTGACAGATTTTAGGAAAAGGCTACTGCTAGAGGGCATAGTGCAATAAGCTTGCAGAGTGTGCTCTCTGCAGTGGAATCAGACAAACTAAGGAGAAGTGAGAGAAAAATATATAGTTTAAAAAATATCTGCTACTTGGAGAATGTATAACATGTGAAGTTGAAAACTTCTTCAGAGAGATTGAAGGATTCTTTGTATCCTTTAAAAGTTATCTTCTGTTCGACTCTGTGTATCTGGATGGAAAAGGTGAAAAGTAGGGCATGGAGGTGAAGAACCACTTAAAAGGAGACACTGAGTTTAATGCTGGGCTTAATACAGGAAAGTCCAATGCATTACAGTTCACTTACCAGCACCGGGGAGCTTGTATCTTTTCAGGCTTAACCATCTTGACTGTCCTTTGATCCCTCTCAGTGAGAGTATCAAACCTCTCTATGATGTAGGGTGGAGAGACAGATACATGTGGTTATTCCATCCTGTGAGGTGATAGGAGGGAATTGCAAATAGCTACACTGTTCTTCCATTATACAGACAGATTGATATTTCAGTGAAGTTAAATCCTTTTCATAGCGATAGCTTGGCTGTATCACACTACATAGAACTGTCTGGAAAACAAGAATTTTGTTTTCTGAAAAAAATGAAGAATTGTTATTTGGATTTACAGATCATAAGGCCAAGAGGTGCAATTTTCATCATGCAGTCTGTATATGTAGCACATAGCAGATTGGAGAGGAAACACTGACAGATAGGGCAGGAAGCAGAAAGCAGAGCAACAGATCAGACAGGGGCACTGGGCAGGGGAAGAAAGCAGAGCATCAGATCAGGCAGAGGATGGGGATTGAAGTGGCATTTGGGGATGATGTATGGGTTACCTTGTGGCACACCTGTCAAAAAGGTGACTCCCACTGACCTAGAATATCATTTAAAAAAATGTTTCTAATGTTTTCAGTGTTCAAGAAAACACCAGACTCCTCAGTAAACTCTCATAGGCTAAGTATAGATAGTCAAAAAGCCCAAGGCTGAATAGATTCAATCTAAACAGGTTAGTTTAAGCTGCATAGGTTGAACTGGTAAGCAAGTGAACATACATGCACTTTTGATTCCAGAAATACATCCACATGCCTGCATTGGCCCAGGTCAGAAGCTGGGTTGGTGGGAGCAGAAAGCTTGGGCCAAGTCTAGCCTGCCCACCGTGCAAGAAGCGGGTTGTGGGGGAGATGAAATGCATCCTGGAATGCTGGGGGACTATGTGTTAACTTGAATCTGGAGGGGATCTGGGACAGAAGTTCAATAAACCAATTTAAGCTAAATCAGTTAAGTCTGATATAACATCCATCCAGGTGTATCTTAAACTGGTTTCGGCCAGTTGAAAATGGTTTATGTATACGGAACTTCTGTTGTGTTAGATCTGAACCAGTTTCCAACTACTTCTACTAGTTTATGGTTAATTTCTGTCCCAAGCCATAATGGTTGCTCTTTACCACTGTTAAATATTTGCACTTTATTTTAATCTTGAATCTATCTAGTTTCAACATTCCTCACCGGGACCAAAAACAACAGCAGCAGCAACAACAACAACAAAATCTACTCCACAAACTCTCCCCAACCCCACAAAATAAAAACATGGAAGAGTAAGCCACCCAGAATACCCAATAGCTTTGTGGTCAGGCACTTATCAGGGACAAAGCAAACCCGGCTTCAATTCTTTGGTCTGTATCAAGAAAAATAATATCTTGAGCTTTGGGCTTTTATATCCCATGTGAGCGACCTAACCACAGTGATATAGAATCTCTTCTATTTAAGATGATTCATTTTATATAAAAAATGTAATATTCATCATGCCAGAAATAGAGACTGTCCATTTCACTGAAAAATTCCCAACTAGTTTTCGTAATAAGCCTTAGAACTTTGGAGCGTGCTAAAAGAAAAAGAAAAAAATCTAAGCAGGCTGTCTAAGGTAAAATGTAGAAGGCTCTGTCACTATGAGCAAACAGTGCCTTCTACACTTGGGAAATGTAGCAAAAGAAGTACATTATGCATCTCAATTTCCAAAAAGGTACTAGAAAGAAGGTTTGTTTTTTTTCCAGAAGGCAAAGTACTGCAACCAGAGGAGTGCACTATTACCATACAGAGAGAAAAAGCTGTATATCAAATCAGCACCTTCTTGAGAAAGCTAAGACAGAAAATACAGAGAGAGAAATCTTACTGTAAAAGTGATAATGATGGAATCCAGTTCATATAGAAGAGATAGGGGGAAGGAGCCTGAATAGAGCTATATATGATCATGGCTAGACTGATTCAAGTACCTAAGTTAATGTAAAGTACAGACATGTTCCTAATATACTAACAATCCATAGCTGACAGAGGGAGATAGTAGTACTTTAAACAGGGATATAGACAAGCCACATGGGCTAACTACTTTAAATCTAATAGAATAGTAGTTACAGCACAGTATGTGTATGCATTGGAATACAAAACTCCCTATGGAACCCAGTGAATAACTGTAAGATATAGTACTAAGAATGAAAATCCAATAAGCGTGGCAAAAAAGATTCACTCTTAGTGAAGCTGGTATGTATACATGAGATGCTTTATTGTATGGCAGATTAGTTCACTGTGCAGTAAAGGGTCACTGTCTACATGTGCTCACATTTACTGTGGAGTAAATCAGTCTACTGTAGAGTTATCTACTACATATAAATACAGGTAGTAAACTAACTGCACAGTAAATCACATATAGACACTGGCCAGAAGCAAACTTGCTCCCAGTCAGCCTAACCAGTAGGGGACAGGGAGCTCTCTGTCCCTGGTCCTGGCACTGTTCAAGCACCCTGGCACCCCCCAGGAGCTGATCAGGGCCAGGACTGGGGAGCTCCCAGCCCCTGCATGCTCCTCAGAGCAGCTAGCTGGATATACAACTGTGTGGAGATGGCTGCTCTAAGGGACAAGTGATGGCTGGATTCCCAGCCCTGCTCACTCCCCAGAGTAGCCAGTTCCATGTGGTGTGGAGCTGGCTGCTTCAGGAGACAGGGAGGACTGGGTTCCCAGCCCTACCTCGCCCCTCACCCCCCAGAACAGCCAGCTCTGTGCCAAGCAGGGCAACTTCTGGTGAGCTCCATACCCCTCCACCTGTCAGAAGTCTTACCCACAGCTGCTCCACACCCTAGACAGCTCCCAGTAAATCTTCTGCCCATCAGGGGCTTGCTGACAGCTATGTGTCTGGATATGCATCAAGTCAGGAGAGCTCTGCCTGCTGCAGGGGAAGTTCTGTCTTGGCATATCAGGTCCCCTCCCAATGTGCATGGGGCCAGAAAACAGATGCCACTGTAACTGGCAGACATCTCCTGGACCTGTACCCACTGGGACCACCTTGTGCCCTGTACCAGGCTGCTCCCATTGGGAGAAAATCTTCTCCCAAGAGGGAGTACGTGTAGATGAGGGCTACGTGAAATTTTCATGAGTGTTTCATTTCAAAGTTGTTTTGACACATTCTGAGCTGGAAACAGCAAACTTGAAATGAAACAAAGGTCTTTGAAACAACTTCAAAACAAAATGAGGGAACTTGAAATATTTTGAAAGTTTTGAAATATTTCAAGTTTTGAAGAAGCCCAGTGGTGGGAGGTGGGGGACAGCCAGGACTGTGCTTCAAGCACAGCCCTGGCAAACACAGCCTGGTGGTGAGAGGCTCCACAGTCCCACAGAGGTAAGCCTGGTGGCAGGAGGCAGGGGAGAGTGACTGGTCAGGGCTACACTCAGAGCCAGGGCTGTGCTCTGAGTGGCTGCACCACTGGCTCCCTGCCACCTCCCGCCACCAACCTCATCTCTGTGGGGCTGCAGAGCCTCCAGGTGCCAGACTGTGCTCACCAGGGCGGTGCTCCTAGCTGGTCTGCCAGCCCCATGGAGCTCAGCCTGGCAGTGGGAGGTGGAGGGAGAACCAGTGGTGGAGCTGCTTGGAGTGCAGCCCTGGCCAGTGACTCTTTCTCACCTCCCACCACCAGGCTCAGCTCTGTGTGGCTGGCAGTCCTGCTTAGAGTGTAGCCAGGTGGCAGGGGGTGGGGGTGAGCCAGGACTACACTATGACTAGCTCCACCAGCCCCATGGAGCTTAGCCTGGTGGCGGAAGGCAGGAGAGAGCCAGGGCTAGCTCCATGAGGCTGGTGGAGCCACTTGGAGCATGGCCCTGGCTCTTCCCCACCTCCTGTCACTGGGATGCACTCTGAGTGGTTCTACCATCCCCATGGAGCTCAGCCTGGTGGCAGGAGGTGGGGGACAGGCACTGGCCAGGGCTGCACTCTGAGCAGCTCTGCCACTGGCTCTCCCGCTGCCTCTCACCACTGGGAAAGCTCCATGGGGCTGGCAGAGCCACTTCATGTGCAACCCTGGCTCTCCCCCACCTCCCACCACTGAGCTGTGCTCTGTGGGGCTGGCGGAGCTGCTCAGAGTGCAGCCCAGTGGCAGGAGGTGGGGAGAATCAGGGCTGTACTCCAACCAGCTCCAACAGCCCCACAGAGCTCAACCCGCCCTTCCTAGCACTTGCAGACTCCTCCCAGGGGTGCAGACCCCCAGATCTGTGTGTGGGATGACAGGAGGCTGCCTCTGCTGCCTAGGGCATGGCAGCACCAGTCTTTCTGATGCTAGGTACAGGGTGTGGGCTGCGCCCAGTGCTAGTCCCAGGCAGCAGCAGCAGCCTCCAGTAACCCCAAATGAAGATCTGGGAGCCCACACCTCCAGGAAAAGTCTGGCACAGCCCCACAGCCCTCCCAGGGGGTGCGGGCCCCCAGATCTGTGCGTGGGATGACAGGAGGCTGATGCTGCTGGCAAGTGACACGAATTTTGCTTGTCAACACCTTGAGGTGCAGTTTCCCAGAAACCCGTACACATATCTCCTTGACACTTGGCAAGCTTCATGCCCTCAGAAGGGGCTACCATCCCTACAATCTTCATCTGAATCAGGCAAGAAATGATAAAGTTATAGGCATTTTCATGATTCCCTATTATAGCCTATGGACAAAATGTCGAAATGCATTGAAACAGTGAAACAGTTTCAACCAAATGAAATGGAACAGTGCTTCAAAACAAAATGAAACAAAATGACTAAATGAAACACTGTTCCTTTGAAACAGTGAAACAGAAGCTGAAATAAAATGGTGTTCGCACAGCCTTAGTGTAGATCTTCTCCCCTTTATGCTTACTCCACAGTATTTTTACTGCACAGTAAACCTACTTCAAATTAACAGCATATGTAAACATGCCCACTGAGAAGCTGCATATTTTGTTTCCTTGCTCAGGCAAGGAGCACTACTAAAAAGTATGCTTTGTCCAGTGAGCAGGCTGAATCCCAGAAATTAGTCAATGGAGCACTTAGCAAAAGCACACTTTATGGACTGCACTCAGGGGTTCTCTGAAATGGCTTTGTTGTTGCCTAATTTCTGTTTTTCGGCATGTGTGGAGCAGGAGCGAATGAATAGGATATAGTTCTCAGCAGAATTCTTGAACTCGGCATGAGGGAGGTTTGGATATATTCTATGTATCTCTGAACAAGACTGTGGGCTAGTTCACTGCCACACTTGGCCTGTGGTGGCATTCGAGAAGTTCCTGTACTATTTATTCTGTGCTTATTCTGTGCTTC